GATTGCCGCTGTCTTCAACTCTTGCCTGGTGATCACCACCTTTGGACACCCAGCAGCCAGTCACCAGGTTGGAACCAAAGGAGGTGAGGGGACTGCAAAGCCAGGTGCTCCACCTGCTGCCCCCTCACAGGGGTGTCCCGTGATGATATCCCAAGGAGGCCCTTGGAGAAAAAGATGAGGGATCCAAGTAGGGAAATAGCTTCCCCAAGTGCAAACCTCAGCAGAGACATAACAGACCTCTGTTGTCACAGAGACCAGGCGCTTCCCACAGGGCCTGAACTAAAGGACAGTCCAGGTGACCAGGAGCCTCTAGAGCACCCTAAGCAACAGTGCTCCACGCGGGTTCTGGTGATGTTAGGAAAGAAAGCTCTGGGGGAAGGAGGGAGGATTTCTGCCCACTTAGTGAGAGAGGACACCAAGGACAGACAGAGGTCCCTGGGGGCGCAGTATGAATCTGAGTTGTGGGAGAATGAGGGGGGGGGTGTCGCTGACCTTTTTTCAAGGCCCCTATGTAAAAGCCTCTCCTTCCACAGAGTCCTCATAGACCCTCTATGGCTCCCAGCATCTGTCAGGGCCTGGACGCCTGCCCCGCTGAGATCAGCCGCATCCTGCCAGGACCCACGGCTGGGAGTGGGGAAATGGTGCTCCGCAGCAGGTGCTGAGTGGTGCAAACCAGGCAGGCCGTCCCACACACCCTGTGCCCTCCTCTGTCGTGCACATCCTTCTCAGACCAGAGGCCTGGATTAAAGCTGGCAGTCTCTCTCAGGAAGTCTCCCCTGGCGCGCCCAGCCCAGACACAGTTTCTTCTCGCCCACTCACCAACCTCACTTCCTGCCTGTGGCAGTCTGGGCTCTGCTGGGCTGGGCTTGTCGGAGACTCACCAGGCTTGAGATGAACCACACAACCTCTCTGAGACAGCCCCACAGCCATCGTGGCCCTTGTGTGCTGGCCTGTGGGACCACTGGTCCCCTCACAAGCAGGGTCCTGCACAGTGAGGAGAGCTGAGCAGAGAGAGACAACTATGAACACCACCACCTGGGCTCCCAGTGGAGCCAAAGATGCCAGCACACTTCCAGGGGCCAAGTCTGAGAGACCCTCCCATGTCCCCAGAAACTAGCATGAGGCGTGGGGTGACTTAAATGCGAAGACTCTGGCATCAAACTGCATAGGCTCACATCACAGCCCTGCCACTCTTCCGCTGTGCATTGTGGGCAAGTCGTTCACCTTACTGAATATCAGCGACATTACCCATAAAATGGGAACCACAGGAATTAGGTAAGAGAACATGTATCATGCACTGAGGACGGGGCCTGCCAGACAGAACAGTCTGGAAAACTGCTAGCCGTCTATGAGAATATTAGAATCCACAGCACCAAGGCCTGAAGCCTGGAGAGACAGCAGCAGCTCGTGGATAGGATGGGAAGATTCTGGCACTCCCAGCAGAGGGGATCCCCAGCAGAGGTGTAGGCTTCGAGCACAGCTTCTAAACCTGTGAGCAAGGCCAGCTGGGCAGGTGTGAAGCAGCTCAAAACAACTGATCTCTGCCCCAAACCCCACTACTTGCATTCTTTAGGGTTTGATGCCCTTCCTAGGATCTTTGTTTAAACAGCCAGTTGCCCACCCCTGACAGTTCTGAAGCTTCCACCGGCTTGGAAGCACACGAGCTCCAACGATTCTTTCCTTCGAGGAGAGGGGCAGCCCGGGGAGGAGGCTGGGTACAGTGAAACCCCTACTGGGGGCCTCCTTTGGACAGGGCTACCAGCCCCTCCACCCGCTTCCTGATTGGTTGACTCGGTAACAGATGGCCCTGCCAAGGCTGATCTGACCGGTCCGGAGATGGCAGGTGAGGGGGCGGCAGCTGCTAAATGAGAAAGTACCTGGCCCGCCTGGCAGCCGCACCCAAGCCTCAAATCCAGCTCCGCAGCACCAGCTTCAACAGGCCGGCCCCACCCAGGGAGCCATGTGGGGAACTCCCCGGCCTGCGGCTCCAGCACCCCACCACTCCACTCTGTCTGATGAAGAGGAGGAGAGGAGGGCACGGGGAGCCCCAGGGGCCTCCGACATACTCCAGTGGTCAGAGAGGACGGCCCCAAGCCCCAGAGCCCGGACAGCAGGGGCAGGAAAGAAGACCCCCCCTTTCCCCGCAGGCAGAACCCCTCTGTCCTCTCAAAACCTTTCATTGTGCTTATTTATCTAAGTGTCATGGTCACTCCTGCCTGCCAACAGGCAGGGGACCACAAGTGGGCTGGGCAGGAAGTTGGGAGGGGAGGAGACCCTGGCCTCTGCTACAATCTGTCATCCCAATCAAGCTACACGATTTCTGACCACTGACTCCAAGTCACAGTTTTCATATATGTGATAAGGATGGAGGGGTTGCGTCTCGGATGTGGTGGGGTGACTGATGGGGGGGGCAGATATGCAAGGCTGTGCCCAGCTAGGAGTAAAACTGAGGGGTACCAATTCATCAGTGAGGCCTAGGAAGGGGCACAAGATGTCGGTAGGAGGCGGCCCCCTGCCCCCCATACCTGGCAGGCAGTCCCCTCTAGGTCCTGCCAAGGGGACTGCAGCACATGCTTAGGAATGGAGAGGGGAAGGATGGCACCGGCAGCGTAAGTGGCCTTGGGAAGGAGCCACTGAGTGGGAGCGAAGCCAAAATGGACCACAACAGTGGTCAGGGGCTGAGGGGAAGAGGCTCAGCTCCCCGGGGAGGAGCCCTCCCTCCAGGGCCCCCAGGGAATAGTAACAGCTACAGGGACACTGACCACAGCGCTTCCTGTTTTAGGAGCGCCTGATACAGCGGCCTTCAGGCTGAGCACTCTCTGCCATCTGGAGCAACTGCGCCGAGAGGACAAGCCGGGAGAGAGGCCGGGGCCCTAGGCCTGTACTATCAAGAAGGGCAGAGACGGCAGGGAGCAGAAGGTAAGCAGAAAAAATGCCACTCTCCTCATCAAGGCTGGGGCCACCACTCACAGTTCAGAAATGATGTTTCAGAAGCAGTGCTAGCGCCATCTTGGAAGATGGTAAAGACCTGCCGGATGGTAGAAAACTTCCAGACTCGCCCACTAGACCAGAGGGAGACTGGGGGCAAGACAAGAAAGGTGTTGGAGTGGGAGCCACATCTAATCCATGTCCTCCTAGGGCCAGCTCCTGAAGGTCCCAAGGCAGTAGCCCTAGCCACACTCACCCATAAAGCCTAAGGGGGCATAGCAGGGGAATTTGTTCTAGGCCTGTCTTAGTTCCCAGTCTGGAACAAAGAAAGCACTGAGGCCCCAGATTCAAGAGGAGGTGTTTTAGAAACTGTTACAGTCAGAAGTTCCCCCAAGTCATTTGTCAGACATAGCATCTATGGAGAAGGGCCTAGACCCAGGCCTGCCTAAAGCTGGTGCTGCCTGGGCCCAAGATCTCTGGCCTCCCACTCCATCCCTGCCTTGCTCACAGCATCTGGAACACCACAAGGGCTGGTCAGAGCTCAGCCCTGGTCCACAGGGCCAAAGCCTTGGTATTAAGAAGAGGTTTTCTGGCTTCACTTGGCCCCTTGTCTATCTACCCAGACTGCCCCTTACCCCAGTGTAGGTGAGAGTGCTAAGGTGGTGCTGAGCGAAGGGGCAGAGACTCCCTCCTGAGAAGAGCCATTTTCTCCTGAAGGACTCAGAGAAGGCCCCCCCCCAAGCCCATTCCACTGCTGGGTTGGTCGGTGAAGAAGCTGTGCCTGAGATTCAGCCTCACCAGCCCAGCCCTGAGCCTCCTCCAGACACATCATATCAGCCCTCGTGCCCCTAGGAAAGACGCAGGGAGTTGGACCCAGGTCCCTGTTCAGATACTTGCAGACACTGTGCCCTAAATAATTCCTGTAACCTCTCCAGGCCTGCATCAGGCCCTGTACCAATTACTCTACAGGCATCATCTCATTCCAAGTTCACATCAACTCCTTATCTTTCCCCCTGAACAGAGGCAGAAACCTGATTTCCAGAGTCCAGGACCTAGTCCAAGGTCACGGAGCTGGCAAATGCAGGCCAGAGATTAGAGCCACGTCCACAGAACTCTGCACTCAGGCTCGTAATTGCAATGTCTGTAAAATGAGATCCTATGCTGTATTCTAACTTTCCTTGCCATGATCTACCCGTCCAGGTGGCCACTGGCACAAACTGCAGTTGAGTGAAGTTCCCAGTGACAACAGATTCAAGGCATTCTGGGTATGGGGCAGGGTCCTGGGCCCAGAACTAAATGACTTAAGCCAGAACTATGTGGCTAGATCAGCCACCCCCAGAACTCCCTGGATTCCACCTATATCAGTGAGTTCTTGGCCTCCAGGGAGCCTATGATGTGACACAGATAGATGGTTGGCCCGCCCTCTGCCCAGGAACCAGGGTGAGTCAGGCTTGGAGCAGGACCTGCCCTTTACGACATAGGGCCGGTGACTCAGCTGGAGCCCATCAGCAACCTCTTGCTCACAGGTGTGATGGGCACCATCCTTGCCCACCAGCCAGCCCTGGGAGGCTCCCACCCAGCACTCCAGCCCAGGCAGTCAGGGGCCACAAGACAACGCAGCCCCACCCCAAGCCTCGGTGGGGACTCAGCCTCAGGTAGAGGGAAACTCAGATCCATTCCAGTCAGAAGAGCTTCTCATGGAAAAAAAGAGCTTCTCGTGGAAGGAACAACCAAACTGAGTGAGAGCACCCCCCCCCTTTGGCGGGAACACATAGGCCCAGCCATAACCGGAGTCAGGAACCACTCCTTCCCTGTTTCCGGGTCCAGCAGACTCTACTCATACTGACTCCACCTCCTAGCTCTCCGGGAGAGAGAGCCTAGCTAGGCTAAGCCTTGTTTTCCCCATCTGTAAAGCGAGGAGTACCAGGAGCCTGACCTTACAGGGGAGTAGAAGAAGGAAAGGAGATACTGATCATAAGAAGCTTAGCAGGGGTCCTGGGTACACAGTGCACCCACAGGCCTCTGCTGTTGGGCCCTCCAGGTCACCCACGGAGCAGTGAGGGGTCACTGACCTTCAGGGCACATTTCTGCCCAGTGCGCCTGTGGAAGCACTCCAGCACCTTGCCGTTCACACCCAGGCCCAGCACCTGCTTGGACAACTGGTAGTCATCGGTCACTGCATACTTCTTGGGCTCCCGCCGCCCCCCGAGGGCAGGAGCGCCGGCTGAGCCGGGTCCGCAGGGTGCATCTTGCGGGGGCATATTGCCCCCCTGCTCCTCTGCTGTCTCGCCATCCATGGCCCCCGCGGGGCGCTCAGAGGCGACCCCAGCCTGGCGCGTCCAGGGCCACCTGGAGGAGAAGGGAAGAATGAGTTCCGCTCAGACTCCTCCAATACACCGCAGCCCGGAGCCCCTGAGCCTGGTTGGGCGGCCGGCAGCAGACAGGGCCGGGAGTGGGAAGCGAACAGTCTGAGAGTACGGACGGGAGGCGGGGAGCGGGGGGCCGGTGGTCGCGAAGCCCGGCACTAGCGAGTCCTGCCCGACTCCTGTCAAGAGCGGAAGGGACTGGGCGCCGAGAGGCCGCGAGTTCTGGGAGCAGGAGGTGGAGCGAGCCCTATGAGGGCGTACCTGGCAAGAGCGTCCCTGACAACAGGGTACCTGGCTGGCGCCGGCGAGGGGCAAGAACCGGGGCCCCGGGAACCCGCGGCGGGAGCTCCTAGAGCCGAGTCGCGCCGGCGGCGACCCACGTGACCGCTCCCCTTTCCCCCCCCCCACCCCCCATCCCCCGTGAGTCCTGGACTTGGGGCCGGGCTCGGTCGGCCTTAAAGGGCCAGGCGAGCCCTGGCAGGACAGGGCGGGGAGGGAGGCCCTGGCTGGCCCCGCCCGGGCTCCGGGACAGAATAGGGGGCGTGGCTTCTCGAAGGGGGCGGAAACCTAGGCGCTCGGGACACCCTCGAGGGCTGTGTGAGCCCCGGAGTTTACCAGCGACCTAGGAAGTGACAGTGCAGGAAGTCTAGCTTCTCTCGGAGCCTCAGGAAGCCACTTGAGTCGGGCGTTTTCCCTGCACTCTGCAGACGGCCCTCCAGCAAGGCTTGTAAGGCTTGCTACTTCCTTAGTGGTGTCCCACCGCCAGCCTACCTAAAGTCTTAATTTTTGCCATCAGGCCAAGTGAAATGGCATTTCGTTGTGATTCGCCTCTTTCCAATTCCTGGGGGCTCTGGGTGTCTCTCACCTTCTGTGCATCTCCTGCTCATATCCGTGGCTTTTTTCCCTTGGGATACAGCGTCCTTAGACCAGATATCCTAAATTCCCATTTTGTCAGATCCATTAACTTTTCATCTTCTACTTTGGGCTTTTGGTGTCCTGTTTAAAAAGTCTCCTCCTCCCACTCCATATACTCTATATTAACGATGTGGTGTTCCCTTCCACTTTTAGGTCTCTATTCTGAGCCCATCTTAGACGATCTTAGGTATTTTGAACCAGTTTTCCCATCACAGGCCGTTAAACAACTCTTATTTCACAGATGAGGAAACTGAGGCCCCCGGAGAGGAAACAACTTGTATAGAGCCGCAGGGGGTGTTGCTCTCTCCTGTGACAAATCTGCATTACTCCTGCACACCCCGCCCACTCCTCAACCCTCAGGCTGAGGGACTGGAATGTGGTGGTTCACTTGGGACTGGGAAGGAGAGGCTTGGGTTAGGGTCCCTGCGCGGGCCTCTTCTGCCATCTACAGGCCACTTGTAGGACTGCAGGCACTGAGGCCTCAGTCCCACCAGGTTCTCTGAGCCCTTCTGGCTTTGGGATCGGGCCCAGATAGCCTCCCGCCCACCTCCCCATACTCCAACACACACACACGCACGCACGCATGTGGATGCACGTGGATTTCTGGGCTGCAGGTCCAAGGCTCTTCAGACCAGCACTCCCAGGAGAGCTGGTACTCGGTGTGTGCAGGCGTAGAGCCAGAGGAAAGGACCCAGGGCTCTGCCCTGTCTCCTTGAGACAACCTTAAAGCTAGCAGGGTTTGGTGAAGCAGAGACCCTGATGATGGCCTCAACTGACTAAACCCTTCTTTCGGACCAGACACTGAGTGGGTGTTCTACCGGGGCACTCCATGACCTCACTGGGACCAGAAGAAGCAGGGCTGTACCCACCCCACATAGCCTACAGGACAGACACGCCCTGAGAGATCAAGCAGCCTGCCTGAGATCAGTAGCTCTCATGGCAGGGTCTCCATCCCAACCCCCAAAGAACAACTCCAGGGCCCCGATCTCACCCTTGAACGATACCCTCCTCTCCTGTGCCTCCCAGCCCCCCTTCCTACCTCCACTTGTACAAATATGCTCTTACACGTGTTCACAGATGCACACACATGCACAAGTGCAGACTTGCACATGTGCCCAGACACATGGGCTTGTACGTGCACCACACGCATACAGACATTTATGCCCAGCAGGACCCAGAACCTCAGTCCCAGAGCCCCACCTGAGAATCTGATCCAAGATCTCAGAGACTTGGAAGAAGCCTTGTGATCTGGAAGCTTTCACAGCTTGGAGACTGGAGAAGGATCCTGCCTCTGGAGGTGACTGGTTTGGGCCAGGTGAAACCAAAACTGAGCAAGATCTCATTCTGGACAAGCAGGGTCCCACTCACAAGCAGAGTGCTGGGCAGCTGGCGGGGGGGGGGGGGGGGGGGTGCTTGTCTCAGCCAAATTATCTCAGTATATGCTGCAGTTGTTATCTTATTTTCTAAAAACAGAATCAGATTACAGTTGTTCTAAACATTTTATAACTGTATTTTTTTAAGATTTTATTTACTTATTTGAGAAAGAGAGCATGAGAGAGAGAGAGATCACGAGCAGGGGGGAGAAGTAGAGGGAGAAGCAGACTCCCCGCTGAGCAGGGAGCCTGATGTGGGACTTGATCCCAGGACCCTGGGATCATGACCTGAGCCGAAGGCAGATGCTTAACTGACTGAGCCACCCAGGCGCCCCTAAAATTATATTTTTAAACTGATCTCTTTTTAATTCAAATTTTAATTGCATAAGTAAAACTTGCCTATTATAATAAATTCAAACCATAGGGAAATGTAAGAAGTAAGCAATGGCGACGCCTGTCCCTTTGCAGTCTCCACCACCAATGCCAATGCTTACACAAGCACACATATTTCCCTCGTAGGTCCATCATAGACAGATGTTTTGCAACTGTTCATTCAACCCAAGAGACTCAGAATGCTGCTCATTTTCCAGCAACCACTTGCACACTGATGGGAGAATTCACTGTTTGGGATAGCTGGGCCAGGGCAGGGGTGGGTTGGTGGTGTCAGACTTTGCCACACAGCCCTCCATGATAGCTATTTGTCCAAGGGGCCGAGGGCTGAGGCCTTTGGAATAGCTTACAGTGAGGAAGGGGTCCAGTGAGTGTGTGTGTGCGCGCGCACGCATCAGGCGAGGCGGGGGGGAGGGGCAGTGTAAAGGACTGAATATAGCCCCTACACACACACACACACACACACACACACACACACACACACGCGCGCGCGTACATGTGTAGACTCTTCTTCTGGGAGAGGAAAGGCTGCAAATGATGAGTCCAGAGAGACCAAATGAGCCAGACTTTGAGGAAGGCACCGCTGTGTATTATTGTGACTGACCCATCTTGCGACTATTCCTGGTGGAGAGGAGCAGGGAGATCCTGCAGCAAGGCCAATCCCTGGAGTGTGGGGAGGGCTTATCCTGGAGAGAATAAGGAAATGTGTCGAGTGAAACCATGAGAGGAATTGCCACTGGGTGGCACTGTGGGCCCAGCACTCAGAGCAGGGGTGGGTAGGGAGCAGCCAGAGCAGGAGAGGTGATAATGAGATGGCCAGAGGGACCCACAACACCTGGGGCAAAACAGGGGCACACCATAGACCATGCACACAGGTGAGGTGCATTACTCTGTCAAAGTCACCAAAGGTGGTTGGAGGGCAAAACCCTCTGACACTGACTGGCCTGGCGGCAGGGAAGCTTCACTGTGGACCTTAAAGCTGGATCTTGAAGGACGCCTAGGAGTTGTTAGGTCAAGGAACCCGGGGGGCGGGGGGAGGGGGGGCGCTGGCGTCCAAGCACCAACTCACCACTTGCCAGCTGTGAGATCTAGGGTACATTCTCACTTCTCTGTCCCTCCATCTCCTCACCTGTAAAGAGGACACATTATATAGTGGTTAGACAACAAATGAGGCTGGAAATCACTGATAGTACACGGCACATCCAAAGTGTTCAGTGAAGGGAAGAGGTAGTCCTGGGATAGAGAGCTTGGGATTTGGCCCCATAGGGACCCAGCTTCAAATCTTAATTCTGTTGCTTGGCAGCTATGAGGCCCCTTTGTCTTCACAGTAATGGGGCGGTAGACAGTTTCTACTGAAGAGACTGCACCCTACATAGGTGCCCCATGATGGGGTCTCCCATTGCCCCAGCCATCAAATGGATAATGAGGTCGCCACACCTGCCGCATCCCAAGATTGGGGTGTGCCTTCTCTCTCAACTCTTTCAGAGAAAACATTCTCGCCTGGATCCTTTTAGCTGTGGTGGATCCTTGATCCCCGCGGACCTGTTCGGATCTGAGGCCCCCCTCTGCACTCCTCCCCTCCTCCCACGTCCTTCTCCAAACCCCACCCGATGCCACCGACTTCCCCACCACCCCACACAGAGTCCGGGGATCCAAATGCGGCCCACAGGGAGCGCTTGCACACCGGACAGACCGCTTTGGGGGAGTCGCTAGCTGGGCGGACAGGCCCGTGACCCTGCCCTTGCGCAGCCATGAGTTCTGCAGAGAGACAAAGGGGACTGTCCCCAACGAAACGGAATGCCCAAAAGTAGTCTGGGCTCGGGCGGGTAGAACCCCTGCCCCTCCCTGGCCTCCTCCCACCGGGTCTTCCCCCACTGGTCTCTAGGTCACGTTCAACCCGGCTCGCTCCTCAGCTTACGATCCCAAAGCTGCAATTGGCCCGCCCCGGCCACTCGGCTCCGCCTCCTGAGCTGCGATTGGTCGGCGAGCGGGACCCCGCCCCATTTTCCTGGAAAGTTCTTGGAAATCTGTCAAAGGTGTTGGCTTTAGCAGCCCTCAGCGCCACACTCGGGAGCCGGCGCCCCCGCCCACGCCCCTCCCAGGCCCGGCAGCACAGCCGGCGGTTCTAGGAAGACGTCGCTTCCGGGAAGGGCTGGGACACAGAGGACAAAAGATTAGGCGGCTCGCCCCGCCCTCCCGGCCCGCCCCCCGCGCCCTCCCGGCCCGCCCGCGCGGTCGCCTCTCAGTCCCAGCCCGCCGCCCGAGCGCCCAGGGAGCCTCCCCTGCGAGCGAGACCTGCGCCCACAGGCTCCCTCCAGCCGCCGCCGCCGTCCTGCCGAGCCCCAGCTCCGGAGCTGCTGCTGCCGCTGCCGGGACATGGTCCTCTGCGTTCAGGGGTAAGCGCGGCTCGCCGCCCCCGCCCGGCCTCTGCGGCCGGCATTCCGGGAGCGTACCGCCTCGTGCTCGCTGCGGGCCCGTGAGAGGGCTTGACGGGTCGGAGATGACCGAGTGCGGAAGGACCTCGCGGTGACGACAGGGAGCGGTGTCAACACCGTCACTACCTCTGCTCTCACTGTGGGTAGTGACACTGGGGGTCGGCTGGCGACGGGAGGAACACGGGGTAGCCTAACCCTGGGTTCTGGCTGGAGCAGTTGAACGCCCGCGAAGCGCCTACTCCAAGACGTGGCTCACCTGCCCAGACCCCCTCTGGCCCCAGAGCTCTCTACCGTAGCCTGCAGGCCGCAGGGCCTACTGATGACCTTGGGTTAGCCCCTGCCCCTCTCTGTCCCATCATCCGCTGTTCTGCCACAGGCTAACAATTAGGCTTTTCTTGGGAAGCCAGCCTGAGATCCATGGCACCCCCCCCCCCGCCAGGTTGTCACCTGCTGACCAGCAGCTGTTGGAAGAGCCTGAGTTTGGCCTGATTTTGTGTGTGGTACCCCCACAATTGCGTCACCCCTCCTCTCGGCCCAGTCTGGGATCCTGTTGTGAGGACTTGGCTCCTGCCTCCCTTCTCCAACTTTCCCCAAAGATGGGGGTGGGGTGGGGGCTGATAAGACAGAGTCTTGGCCTCAGCTGAGCATTCTTGGTACATTCCTTCCGCCTCAGCATCCCCCTTCAACCAATAGGTCTGATGTTCTCCAGACTGATCTGACAGGAACTCAGAAAGCTCCAGGGAGAGAGAAAGGAGAGATGAGTGAGTGTCCACACCCAGGGGGAGCTGGGTGGCCCAGTGGCTGTTGTTATCAGAACTGGCATAGTACCAAGTGAAGAAGGGTGGAAGGTGGGGCAAAGCTGAAGTGCCCCTTGCCCTGAGCCGCCCTGTTTCCAGGGAGGCAACCTAGGAAGACCATGCTACTATACTTTTCCCTGATTGTCTCCAGCATCTCCCTCCTCTGAATTTTGGGACTCCCGAACACCCCCACACCCTTGTCCTCAGGACCCCTCCCCCAATTCTGGGGTCCCACATTCTCCTTTTACTTTGTTCCAGACGAAGGCCCCTTGGGACCTCAGGGCCAGTGTGCGGTGTCAGGGAGCAAGATTTTTAAGACCTCCACATACACAGCCACAACCCAGCTGGTGCCCTCCTGGGGTAGGGAGCAGAGATTCCCAAATGTAGGTTTCAGCTGCCGGCTTTGCTTGAGGGGCCCACCCTCAGGGCTGAGTATGCTCCCCTGGCATGTGTCCCCAGTCAGGACTCACAGGCGGGGCTCCACAACAGGTACACACACGTACAGGCCACCCACACCTGGAACACACCAGCCATGGCCCCTGCCATGATGATGACAGCTGTGGACACACCCCTCCTCAGATACACGGTCACTGGCCAGGAGTTTGCAGAGACCAGTACGGCTGTTTCACACACCAAGACACCATGTTGACCCTAGAGGTGCGCACACCCACAAGTGTCCTGCTAAGCTGTCTGGACGTGGCCACACTGGAGGCACTGGCCTGGTGGCTAGCCTGAGCTGAACTCGGGGACCCAGCAGGCAGGCCACCAGCTGGTTGCTTAGAGCTTGGCCTCTGGTTCCCCCAGTAGGATTCCAGAGCACCCGTAATGCACCCAGAGTGGCTGTGGAGAAGCAGTACACAGACTATGGTGGACCAGGGTCTTGTGACCCCTTCTCCGGGTTTGTTAAAATCTTCTAATGCTCACCTATAACCTACACTGTGAGATCTGGCTTGTCTGCCTGCGTCCCACCAAGGCTTCTGTCCACCTCTTCCCGCCTCCTAAGAAGTCCCTGGCACTGTTAACCTGTGCTGTCAGCTCTGCCTGGAGGGAGTGCCTTCCCCCTCCTCCTTCCTTTGGCCTCACAGACTCAGCTCAGGAACAGGCAGAACTTGACCCCCCATGACACCCTTTGCTTTTATGACTTTGGGTTATAAGTTCTCCTTGAAGGCAAGGCCCATGGTTTTGTTATCTTCGTGTCCTGAGGCCCAGCAGGGGACCAGACCCAGAACTGAGGCCTGAGGATGTATTTCCTGAGGAGTGAGGAAGGACCAGCAGTCTCTTCCTTGAGATCCAGGGCCCATGCCCCTCACTCCCGGGAAGCCCCAGGATCACCATGCTGGGTGACCTTCCCCTAGAGAAAGGCTACTGCTCAGATTGGGGCTGGCTCAGCAACCCAACTCTAGCCACCTGAGAATATGGTATAGCCAAACCCCGCAGGATCTGGACTGGTAGCATCCCTCATTAGGGGGTGGAGAAACTGAACACAACGTTTGCATAAGATCATAAAGCCTAGTAGGGCTGGCTTGCCAGGGTGGGATCTGGAATGTGGAGTGAGTACCCTGCCCTTTGGGGGGAGCTTATGTTTGTGGGAGGTGGGACTTGCCAGGGCCTTTAGAGGTCAGTGTCCACCCCAGACTCCCAGCTGGGAGGAGGAGAAAACAGGATGGGAGTCTGACCTGTTTGGGGAGATTGGTCCAGCCTCTCAGCCCTGGCCAGTGTGGACCTAGGTCCCTCCGACAGATACTCCTATCCATGGGGAGGTAGCACGTGACCTCAGGCATCCTACCATAATTTGGGGGCCTCTCTGGAGCACCCCATGAAGGCCCAGGCCATGGCTCAGGTGGGACCAGTGCCATCTAATCGGCCCCCCCTCAGCCCACAGGGCACCAATGGGAGGCTTCTTTACACTGGATCCTACCAATGGCGGGGACACCAGTTGCCCATCCTGACCTAGAAATGCCTATAGAGAATGACCTGTGTTTTCGGTTGGTGCACAATAGAGAGATTAATTACTATTCAATAAATGCAGGAGGGTGGAGAAGCCTCTTTCAAAAGAGAATCACCTGGGGGAAGCCATCAAGGAGGCTTTTGTGGTGACAGCTGGGAGGTGGTATGCTGACCTCATTGAGCCCACGAGTGGGCGGAGAGGGAAACCGAGATGGACTGGCCAGAGGTCATGTAGCCGGTCCAGGGCACAGGGGGTCTCTGGAAATAGGGAGAGCACAGGGCCTCCACTCACTGCCCATCCACTGTCTTCTAGACCTTGTTCTCTGTTGGCTGTGGAGCGGATCGGGCAGCGGCCCCTGTGGGCCCAGTCCCTGGAGCTGCCCGAACCAGCTATGCAGCCTTTGCCTGCCGGGGCCTTTCTGGAGGAGGTTGCAGAGGAGACCCCAGCCCAGCCAGAGAGTGAACCCAAGGTGCTGGACCCTGAGGAGGATCTGCTGTGCATAGCCAAGACCTTCTCTTACCTCCGGGAATCTGGTGAGTTTGAGGAGGGAAGCAGGCCTTGTTCTGGGAAGTCCGGTGGGAAAAACTTAGCTCTGTCCGTTGAGTCTGATCTGAGAGATGTGGCCCTGCCCCGGACAGTCTGATGGGGGAGGTGCAGTGCTCCCCATGGAAGCGTAAAGGGGGAGGTAGAGTCCTGCCCTGCCCGGCCCTATGTTGCGCCCCCCAGCCGAATTCCCCTGTGACCAGTCTCTCGGCTCCCTCTCCACTTGCCTAGGCTGGTATTGGGGTTCCATCACGGCCAGCGAGGCCCGGCAACACCTGCAGAAGATGCCAGAGGGCACGTTCCTCGTCCGAGACAGCACCCACCCCAGCTACCTATTCACACTGTCCGTCAAGACCACCCGAGGCCCCACCAACGTGCGCATCGAGTATGCCGACTCCAGCTTCCGCCTGGACTCCAACTGCCTATCCAGGCCGCGCATCCTAGCCTTCCCCGACGTGGTCAGCCTGGTGCAGCACTATGTGGCCTCCTGTACCGCCGACAGCCGAAGTGACAGCCCTGACCCTGCACCTACCCCGGCCCCGCCTACCCCGAAGGAAGACGTGCCCGGAGACCCGGCGCTACCTGCGCCGGCAGTCACGGCCGTGCACCTGAAGCTGGTGCAGCCGTTCGTGCGCCGAAGCAGCGCCCGCAGCCTGCAGCACCTGTGCCGCCTGGTCATCAACCGCCTGGCGGCTGACGTGGACTGCCTGCCGCTGCCCCGGCGCATGGCCGACTACCTCCGACAGTACCCCTTCCAGCTCTGACGCGCCTGAGCGTCTGCCTAGCCTCACCCAGCCGTACCCTGGAGGGGACAGTGGC